TGATCGTAGCAGTGCCCGAGCACTCCCATTTGAAAGCCAGTTGACGAAAGGTAGCGTGTATTTGCATCTTCGCATTGACTTTGAATGTAATCTGTCGTGCGAAAAATTCGTTTCGCGTCCAGTGTGAAAGCGGCTTCATGGTGGCTGATAGTCTGGCAATTTCGGTAATACAGTCGTCACCTTAGCCAATGTTGCACTTGATTTAAAAACCGCTCTGCGTTTCGTCACGCTATTAATACGAAGCTAAACTGAATACCAAGTGTAATGGAGTTAGCGCAATGCTACAATGCCTGCGAATTAACTAACGTTTCCATCAAGGCGCTGACGGAAATTAAGTTTGTCTTCTATTAAATTATGCTCCTCTGTTAAGTGATAAACAGAACTTTACACTCTTGAAATTACAAGAAATTTATGAAACGAGTTGAGTAAATTTTGCCTTTGTTGCGATATGACACGTCCACTCAAGGAAGATCTCAATGCCGCTGGTGTTACAGTAAATGAGCATTTTCAATGTATTCTCTATTTCTCGTTTAGTTACATGGACTTCACTATCCCGGGTATGATCGGGTTTTTGGAGAATCCCGTTTTTGCGTTTGTGCATGTAAACATCATATCCTTATTTTAGAAACCAGGATAAATAAATAATTAAATATATGTACAAATAATTGTATAATTGAATAACTTATTGAATTTAATTACCTCATATTTGACACTTCGCTATAGGGATCGCTGGATGAATATTGATTAATGGTAGCAAACATGGCGTCCATAAAATACGTGACCAGCTCAGAACCAATCAGCATAGCGGGATAGCTCAGACATTCGAACCCCGAGTTGGCCAGCCTTTCTCAACATACGGCTCTGAGTTATTGAATTTTCGCAAGCAAGCTGAGTTCGAACACGGTTTGGAATATGGACGAGTTCACTCCAATCCATGTTTTTCAGGAGTTGCCTGAATAAAATTCCTAAGCTAAGCCTGATGTGCAAACTGCTCAATATACTTGCCCAGAGTATCTATCCAGCAGTTAAAAAAAAAAATTATCTCTTGCTACAGAAATAATCGTTGTCCTCTGCAGCAACCACTTTAGCTATAGTGAGCAAATGGTACCCCAATTGGCAGTTAAGAAAAATCAGTTTTCTGAAGCAAAAATTCAGCATGGTATTGATAACATGTAATTCTACTATTAATTATAGTCAATTATAGTGGTTTTTAAAACCGCCTGTAAACTCAAAGAAGAAAAGAAGAAGAAGAAGAAGAAGTATATAAAGGAGTGACTGCCTGTTTGTTTTTTGAATACTGTATTTTTCATTCACCTGAAAATTGAATAAAGAGCACAAATAGTATACAAAGAGCGGTTGCTTTGCTTCTTTCTATGCGTACTATGAAAAATACTTTGTACTTATACTCGCACTTTTGATACTTAAGTATATTCTTTCACAAAATACTTTTGGTACCTAAGTACATTTAATGTGAGCTACTTTAAGACTTTTACTCAAGTAATTTTCTTATGGGTGACTTCAACTTTTTCCAAAGTAACTTTCAGTAATGGTACTTCTACTTTTACTTTCTTATTTTTTCCAGTACTTTATACACCACTAATTATCATATTAGCTATGTGTTAAAGTGCAATACTCGGTCAGGCTGTAACTGTCACTTATGAAAATCGTTCATGCTTTCTTTCCTGAATTCTTGTATTTTATTTCATTTCTTTAAACACTGATTATATGATTTTTTTTGACTGTCCACCATATTTGATGTAAAATTGACCTAAATTGCTCACTTTGCAACACACTTTTTTTATCCGCAGTGACTGAAATAAATACCAAACAATTCACTATTTGGGGGCACTATAAAATTCCAAAACTTTCTTATTTCTCGGCAAGTTCTCATGATCTTGGTGTCAACTACAAGGCCTTTTCAAGAGCTTTCAATAGGTCATAAATTAATTAAAATTAATTGCATTTCAATTTTTTTGGTCACATACTCAACCATATTCAACCATCATCAATATCGTCTAACGCTTGATGTAAACACATGGCAACTCCTTCACTCAAACATATTTACTAAGCGGTTTTACTCAAAACTGTGGATTCTTTGTCCATAACATGCTCAAAGAAGAAACATGGGGGAAAAAAGGAAAGTTTGACGTTCGTTCCTACACCCTCACTATATAGGAACTGCCACGTGTTCCCGAAAGTGACGTCACGTTCCCGATTAGCACAACTTTAATGATAACTTTATTGTTTCATTACAATTCAGGAACATACATGCATACTTTAACTGCCATCTACATCTGCTGCTGCTGTCTCTCTCAAATTGACATTCACAAAATCAATAACTGCTACCCTTACTCCAGCTCTTTGTCTATTCAAATGAATAACTTGCTTTTGATATGTTTTCCTTACTCAAGACCACCCCACGTTCCACTCCCTCACACACTCTCACTCACTCCCACTCCCTCAAGTCACACGGTCACTCTTTTACACTCTCACTGTCCCACTCTCTCACTCTCCCCACCTACTTTGTAAATAATTTATCAGCTCCAGCTCATTACTAAACTTGCACTCTATATAATTGCGTGAGCTTTGCCTCATTTAGCACCCTTTTCTTGGGCGCACACTCTCATACAGCACTTGGCGGCCCAGCCATATACTAGGTTGCACCTAGTCTTGTTTAAATTGAGGACTTGCTTGCAAGAAGTACTTAAGTCACTAAATAACACTTTTGTGATTTTTGGGTCAAAGTTTTCAAAACATGTTGCAGATGTGTATTGATGTATATTGTATACTGTTTTGAAGACATTGACCCCCAAAATCACAAAAGTGTTATTTAGTGACTTGGGTACTTCTTGCACACAGATCCTCAGTTGGCTGCCTGCTATGCTGACATTCAGATGTGACACCTGCTGATAGAGGTTTTTAGCATGTATGTGCAGTATATTAAAATTATTCTAAGTAAGTCAAATTTATTTATTTATTTGCTCACTTATTTATTTTGAGAAAACTAACCATTTATTTGGAAAGCAAACGATAAAGTGTCAAAGTTGTGTATTGTTATTGTTATTAAGTTCAAGTACAACATTTTGAAAGAACTTCAAATACCGTAATTGCACTCCGCAACATGATTTTGTCTTCGTAGCAAAGTTGGATGTTTCTGTCAAAATATGGCTTATTAAGATGTTAAACAACTGCTCTAAACATAGACTGCACCTAATTAAGACTATTGAACTACTTCTTAAAATTCTAAATTGCAATTGCAGTTGGAAGAAAAACCAGAATACACTTTGAGGGCCCTAGGACTAACGTTCAGCATCAATGTTTTAACCCAAAGATCAAGGGATCCACTTATGACCATTCCTGCTATTCACAGTAGACCAGTGGTGCTCAAACTTGGCTGAATGGGACTGCTGTGTGTAGGAGTGTATGTGGCATGGAGGCAAAGGCATTGCTCTTGTGATCCAAAGATCATGGGTTTAACCCCCATCTATAACTTGCATTTATACTGACAGTTCTTTGTGCATTCTTTAGTCTTTGCATTTACCTTTTAGAATGATCATGTGGTTATGATCAACACAGTGTCTGTTCCACCCTGCAACACAGACCAAAATTCTATCCGCTTTCTACATGAAACAAATAGCTGCTCGCTCACTAAATGCTGAGTCATGCAATTAAGATGGATTAGTTGTTTATGTTGTTCATAGGAGGGTACATTTTCAATGACTATGTCAAGAATGGTCCGCAAATTAAGGGCATGTCATCGCCGTATTGCAAAATTTCTAAAACATTGCAGTAACATTATGGAGGTAGTTTGCTTAGCATCATAAAAGAAACAAAGAAACGCTCATTCGGATAATCTCTGTACACAGAAAAGGCAGTATCTGCACTCAGCTTTGCAAAAATTTTCCTGCTCACGCGCTATGCGCACTCACATTGCATATTTTTCCCTACTAATTCTCACATTAAACCTACGCCCTTGCTAAGACCACATAACCTTTCAGCTGAAATTGGGAGACCTCCACTTCTAGTGAGTACAGTTCTAACAATGTGTCATTGTCAACCAAAGATGTCGTTATTTAGGCAACAAATGGTGGCAATACTCACTTTTCATCACTAATAACCCATGCACACAGTACTCACTTTTCATCACTAATAACCCATGCACGCAGTACTCACTTTTCATCACTAGTAACCCATGCAACTTCAATGATTTATCATTTTAGACCTTGGCCACGATATTTAGATGTACATCGTCTATCCATTCTTATCTGAACGGTTTTCACTCAGACCCAAACAAATCACTGCTCATTCAACACAGATAGAGAGCTTGTTGAGCTGCCAAGTGTCATTGCCTCAGTCTTAAAAATGTCAACTCTTTCAAACCAAGCAGCAAGGTGTTGGTTTCACAAACCAAAGATCATGAGTTTAGTCCCCATCCACACACCTCCTGTACACTGGAAGACCTATGCAGTCTGTTGCATTGTTGTGGCTTTATGGCAGCTGGTTATGATAAAATATGTCAAGCAAATCCATCATTTCTTCATTCAAAATGAAAAACAAAGCTTGCAATGTACTTGTTCTTCAGAAACAGGGTTGGATGAAAAACATTGAAATGCTTTGAGTTTTACCACGGGCACGGTGGCCAAGTGTTGAGGCATTCATCTCCTAAACCAAAGATCATGGGTGAAACCAGCATTGATGCATTAACTTTGCTGTGGACCTGCCGTGCCGCATTTATACTACCCCAAAGGTTTTCACTCAAAACCCAACAAATCACACCTCATTCGAAACCAACTGAGAACTTGTTGAGCTGCTGCCAAGCACCTTGGCATCAGTGTTTTAAACAAGGGATAATAGTTTCCACTCTCACCTCTGCATGTAATTCCCTAAAGGTGGAAAAACTATTTCCTGACTGACTAGCTGTTGCTGCAGAGTTGTTCCATAGCTTTCAAAGTTGTTCAATAGATTTTTCTTCCACAAAGATGAGCCACAGCATGTCACTGGGCATGGTAGCCAAGTGATAAGGTGTTTGTCTTGTAAATTGAAGCTCATGGGTTTGACCCCCATCCATGCTGTGACATTCCTTCAGATAACCTTTGTTCTCTATTTAGTTGTGGCATTATTCTGATGTCTGTCAGTCTCATGTACATTGCTTTAGCTGTTGTAGTCAAGTGGCTAAAAGTATTTAGGCTCACTTCTGTCATGTGGCTTTGTAAATGTGTCATTCTATGTCATCTCAGCCACCCATGTACAGGACACCTCTCAGATTCTGGTCAAACTTAATCAAAAAATACTTAACGGTACCAAACAAAAACCCAAGTTTCTTGTCAATATCTCTAACGGTTTTCGTGTGGGTCTGAAGTCCAGGGTCTGAAAGGGTCATTTTGGCCCGAAGTGGTTTTCCGACCCCCACAAGTCCCCCACCAATGGTACTATTATCCTAAAACTTAGTTCCCAAATATGAAGGAGAACCACAATACCCACAGTAAAATTCACTTAACCAAGTCCTAGGGACCCTCAGAAAGTGAAAAATCACTTGCCGCCATTAAAAAAATTTGGATTTTGGGGGCCCTCCTCTCACCTCTCTGATGTCTCATGGTGATTCTGGCTGTAGAATCCTGATATATGGCCAGAATACACCAGCACATCAGATTTCAGCTTCCTATCTCCATTACGTGAGAAGTTATGGTCCTTCCAAAATACTACGAAACAAAATGACCAATTCACATTAGTCAAAAAGGGGTGTGGCACCCAAAGTCCAAGAGGGCGCCACACAAAACCTGTCAGAGATATTGACACAAAGCTTGGGATTCTTTTGTTTGGTACCATAAGGCATTTTTGGACAAAGCTTGAGCAAAATCCAAGAGGTGTTATGTACAAAGAATCCCAATATTGGCTGTTTTAACATGGAATGACCCAAAAAGACTTAAGGATATAACTGTTTTCTTAGAGAAATACCATCCTGCAGGTTTTTTCTTGACACAAAACAAACAATGCAGGAGGTAATCTGGTGCAATAGGCAGTCAAATAAAGATCACAGTCTGCCAATAGATCAAAGCTTTGAGGAACTTTGACAACCAGTCCCAGAAATAAATGTGGTTTCAGTAAAATTCACAGAAAATGTTTTTCTGTAAGGTTGATCAAAACCACATATATCAGGATTTAGTGGGATAAAAACTATTTGACTTTGTCACTTTAAGTCAGATTCACAGTCACGTGTTGCGTTCAATCACTCATATTCAAAAACTATACGACCTTTAACCTTTCCTCTTCCTCGGTGCAGAAAACCTTGCATTGGTGTGAATTGTCTCCCTGATGTACACTGTGGACATGGAGGCCAAGAAGTGAAGTGTTGGTCACATCATGATGATAAACACACATACTCTTCTGCCTCTCTGCACAGCAGTCCTGAACTATGCCAACAAAATCTGGTAAACTTTCTTTTTGAGAGGAACAGGAAATTACAAAAAAATGATCTGGATAATTCTGTCATTTCATGACAGACTAAAAATCACGTCGTAGTATCAGATATCATTTCAGACTGAGAATGTTGTAGTATTAGATATTGTCTCAGACCAAGAATATGATTGCCGGTTAGGCTCTGAGTCTGTCATCATCAGCCATTCAAAGATGCGTGTAGCTCAAAGCCGTGAATACACAATCCATGGCTTGGTTGCATTTTGACTTATGTCTCATAAAAATAGTTCTATTAAGAATATTTCTGCTCACAAATTGATTCAATTTACCCTCTCATAACTGAAGCAACATCATGGTCCTGATAGCAAAATATTTGTGTGACAAAGGGAACAAATAAACACTCAAAACCAATGATTTCCATATAGGTCAATTTATTTGACCTACATTTTGATGTTAAGATAACCGGCATTTGAAATAGTCAAAGCAATGACTAGGGAATTCTGCTGGGGCTGTGGAACCATGTTGATGCAACTTTTGATTCCGTTCCCCCGGTTGTAGCCTCATAGCATGCCTGAGGCTAATTTTCAAATCTGTAGGGGTGTGGGAGTATTGGAGGGGCTGAGAGGGATCACAAGGCCCAAGCTTTCAATTGAACTCAGAGAGCTTAGAAATATGTCAAACTCGATGCATTAAAAGAGTCCATTAAACTCAGTAACATCATCATAGAAATGTGAGAAGCTTACTGAGAATAACTAACAAAATAGTTTAAAGGGCCATTGCTACCATTCACGTGGATGGTCTTAGCATATATCACTGGTTTCTCTACTTTCAAATCCCAGAACAAAACCTGCCGATGTTCACCCTACCACACCTGTCTGGCTTTGTGCACCAGGCATACTCCATCTATACGAGCTTCCTTTTCTAGCACCCTTTGAAAAGAAGGCAGGTTCCTGGCCTATTTTTTTTTAAAATCAAAATTCAAATTTAGTTCTCAAGAACGCCTATCCATACATACACAGATATTTTTTGAAAACGTATATTTTTCTATGCGTTTTGGCCTCTCCTCTACATGCAAACAGCGTTTTAGGTCACAAAAACGACGGGGTTTTTTTTTTTTTTGTTTTTTAAAAACACCTTCTGAGGTGAAGTTTTTTTTGTTTTTTTTTAACGCCAGTTCTGTGTATCAGTTTATGCTCCGAGCCAGTGACGTGCCGTTGGAGGTCAGTTAGGGTAGGCAGAATCTTCACCGTTAAACAAACGATAACTCTATTACTTTGCTTGATTAGCAATCTGAGGATAGATCAACTAATTTACAAGACTAAACGGCAGAATGGCGTGCCAGTTCCATCCACGGCATTATTGCTCAGTGCATCAAACTTAAAATGCTCATGAGACAGCAAGTTTGTTCATATTTGCTTGGAGGAAGCTAACGCAATGCCATGAACAAACATTAAAACCTTTCTTAGGCGGCGGTCAATGTGTGGTCAATATGTTTACAATAATATTTCCCCCCTTAAACACGTACTTTTTAATGCCTTTTTTTTTAAATAGGGAGTTTATTTTCAGTCTTCTTTCATAACCCGATAAAAAAAAGATCAAAACAATATACGGAATTAACGAGAGAGTTGAAATTTTTTCCTAATTAATTGTTAAGATTTACTTCCTTGCAGTTTCGAATCAAAGCATAAAGGTAAATTAATCTTTCTGTCACTATCACCTCTTGTCACTGCCTACTCTGACCGCACGTCCCTGCTCCGAGCTAGCCTCGCGTCACCAGGCTCTTTATACAGGGGCGAAGAGCCTGGTTTCCATTCACTCTGAATTTTGTCTGGATTCTGGTTCCAGTCTAGAGAGTGGATCCGGAATTCACCAGATTCACCAAAGTAAAAGTGTTCACCAAAATAAAACTTTAAATTCTGGCGCACCATCGATTTCCGTCTCCGGTTTTGGAACATTTTATTCATTTAAACATGGACGTACAAAATTATATTCTTTAAGGCAGTGGTTCCCAAACTTTCTCTGCTGGGCCCCCCTTTGGTACATAAGAAAATTTTTGCCCTAAAAAAAAAAAAAAAAAAAAAAAAAAAACAGGACATACATACACATATTTTGTTTTCAGAGTCCATTGCAGTTTATTTCACACATTGTAATTAATATAAACCTCAACCTTTTCTGAAAAAATAAAAGTAAACTGCCATAAACTGCAGGTTGTCATAAACTACAACTACTTTTAGAATTAGAAATAAATAACAAAATAACAAACCGCCTTTACGGTGTAATTATTTTAAGTGTAACTGTTTTCAAACACCTTGACTGTGTAATTATGTTCAGTGTAACAGGTTTCTTTTTTTTAATATTCAACAAATTTGCTATTAATGCATTTTTGAAAAACTGCCTCTGCAAAAATGGGTTTTAAAACATGACCAACTCCCTGAGAGGAAAAAAAAACACAAAAACCTAAAGGTTTGTTTAAGACAGACAACACACTGCGGTCTCTCCTCATTACCCACCGTTGTACAGGTGAAGCCAAAGGCAAGATATGTGTCGTCATATTTTCTAGTCTTTGCCTTGGAAGGAAATTGCTTTAGAAGCTCATTTGGCGGTGCTTCATCCTCTGCTTTGCGTTTACGTGGGAGCTCCGTCAAAATTTGTCCATGTTATGGTAGCAGTGTCATTTACTGTATTTATTTATTCATTCATTCTTGCCGTGCGTGAAATTTTTTTTCCCGCTTAAGTTCCGGACACCAACAGAAACTTACTTGCATACAGCCAATCAGCGACCTTGTGCCGGACCTCTGAAGGAGTGTCTCCAGACAGTTAAATTTTTCTCGCTTCACTGGCCTTGCACTCATGGAGTAAAAATAACCGAGATTGCGTTAGCTCGTTCTAGAAAATATGAATGCTTTGAACAGATGATTTTTGTCTAGCCTATCTGGAAACATTAAAAATGATTGGCAGGTTTGGAAACGGCCACCACATTTTCAAATGAAGGACACGAAGATTTAATAATTCAAAACCGCTTTTAAAGTATAAAATCATTAGGCTGTATCACACCCCTCTGCCTGAGTATAGCCGTCTACTTAAAATGATGTTTCTATGATGCAGAAAGAAAGCACCATAATCAACCTATATTAACAGCCGCTGCGAAGTGCGAAAAAAAAATTCATGAACACCACTTGCCAAACCTGCCGATTTGTTTGTTACGTTCAGTAGCTAGGCTAGATAAAAATAATCTGTAGGCCTACAGAGCATTCGAATTTTTGAGAATAAACTGACGCAATCTCGGTTATTTCTTCTTTTTATTCATCGGATTTTGTTCGGTGTCACTAACTAGTTTATTATTAATATGCCAGATCAGTGCAGGATAAAAAAAGCGGCGAGTTGGGTATTACTAGACTACATTGATTGAAACCAGCTCATTCTACCAGCTTCAAATATTTGAACAACTACATTCATAAAAATTTATTTATGAGTTTTATTATTATTTTAGAACTTTTCCCGTACTTGGGTAGTAAACAAGGTGGGCTGGGCTATTCTTGTCGAACCCTACAAACACTCCCTTTTCGCACCTGGGGTCTAACTTCTTCTTTTTTGCTTTTTATGCATAACACACTGTTCCAAATGCCCTCATTTTTTGACACATCTGGCTGCTTTCCTG